GGTGGATGTCCAAGTTCTGCTATGGTACAGGTGAGGATGGTGAAGAATTTCTCGGAGTCCAGCAAAGAGCGCTATATATGGCTGCTATTCTGTGCCATAGTGTGAGCTTCTGTAGTGTAGTGGTTGAACATGCTGTGTTGAACACTGAATTTGCAGGTTGCTGGTTCAATTCCCTGTGGTGGCATTTTTTTTTTGCCGCCGCTGCACCCACTAACAAATATTGTACACTTGACCTTGATCAAGAGCAGCTGTCCTTTGATTTACTTCCATGCATATCATCTTTATTCAATACATCTCACAGTGAACTTGGGCATGAACTTGAACAGGGACTTGGAGGACTTGGCCAAGTACCTGGTACTTGGCCAAGTCGACCCACCCGACTTGGCCAAGTCCATTGGACTTGGGGTACTTGAGGTACTTGGGATACTTGAGGTACTTGGCCAAGTACCCCAAGTACCTGTACAAGTCCGTGACGTTTTCCTGATGCAGCGAGTCGATGAACCAGAACATACTGTTGTGCACATAGTAATCGAAGCTAGATTGGTTGATGCGCTTGAACTGGGTGTTCGCGTGATGCACATGGAGTTGGTGGTTCAGATAGTCTATGATGAGCCTAGCGTTGAAGGAATCGGGAGGCAACCTGATAGCGTCGTCCTCGGAGATGGGTGTCATGGCGGATGACTGAGTCTGAGAGCTATCAAAAAGGGAGGCCTAGCACAGAGAGACAAGGAGTGGCCTGAATGGGAAGGGAGCTGGGGCGTCCATCGGACTGGAGGCACAGGTCGATGATTGTATACTTGAGACACACATAGTCAAAAGTGCCCCAAAACGGTGCAATCCACATCCCCCGGTGGAGGCCAACCTCCGCAAAAACAGAAATTGCTGCAGAGCAACCTGTGGTGGATTGATTGATGCATGCGACATGAAGGTCCTGCGGGAGCTCACCTCATGGTGGAATCATGAGAGCATAACGAAGCCTTAGGGCCCATGAGAAATCGACACGATCAACCGAAGACTGATGTAACGGTAGGCAGTCCCCGTCACCGCGGCCTTCTTCACTCGCGAAGAGAACCAAGAGACCACCAGGTGGCAAACCAGTCCCTCGTCGAAGCATCGGACGCGTCTTACAGTTCATTTTTAGGAATCATGTTTGCTGCAAGACGCTCCTCGAGCATCACTTTTGGACAATGCTCAACGTATTGAGATACAAACGTTGACAGCCGACAAAAACATCGGATGCTTTCTGGGTGCAACCTTCTTGTAAATTATGTTTACCTGCTTCATGAAGTTCAACTGACTTGAGATATCAGTTAATCAAATCGACTCACGAAACGACTGACGAAGGCGCTCATAAAGGGGCTTGGGCATTTCCGAACGATTGGTGCTGATACTGGTCATTTGGGCGAGTAGCCCTGCGACTACCTAGGAACGCAAAAGATCTGGCATAAGCCTACATTGACTCAGGTATATGAATGCATCCGCCAAAAAGTCCCCGCAGCCCCTGGCCACCACGCCCAATGAATGAGGCTAAGATTGCGTAGATAAGGCAAGCGCACCTGTCCCAGCTGACCATGCACGTCTTACACGACGTCGACGATCGATCAGCTGCAACAATTCATCCACGGGCTCAGGGATAGATCTGACGGCCTTCGAGAGTCGTTCGCCTCATTCGGATCAGGGTCCCATAACGGAGCTTTGAGAACTATCGTCAGCAGATGGCTGCGCCTGAGCGGATGAACGACGGACATTGACCGTGGAGCGGAGAAGGCGGCGGTTTCACGTCATCAGTGGCTCGCAGAAGCGAGGATGGTATTGAACGCATGTTGCTGTGAGTAGCACCGAACTACAACCGCGATAGCAGAAGAAAGTCAGTACGTCAGCGCCTCACACTCTTGTGTCACTTGAGGCGGAGTCCTGTATCAAGCCGCGCACCCTGTAACCGATAGCCTCAGATTGATAGACATCGATCGATGGAGAGTGCTGATGGATTTTTGCTTGAGCAGCTTGAACAGTGGGTGCTTGTCATGGTATATCAGCTTCGAAGCTTAGAATGAGTTCTACGGGTCTATAATACTCACTTTGGGGCTCCATGCTCCAGACCAGGTTCATACTTTCTGGACTGGATGAGCAACGGGGCTGAAAACTGCGCGAGCTAGATTGTGATGATGTAGTGACGAGAGGGGAGGCATTGCATCGTTGCTCATGCTTAGGTCTTGTAATTGACTATAACGCAAAATTGTACGTCAGGTCGTTGACAGGACATACCGACGCTGCCAATGATGTTAGCTGGTTCTAAAAGAGGTTCCCCTTTTCGACGAGCTCGCGGGTGAGGTAGCCACGGTGGAATGTGTTGAACAGGCGCTGGTTTACACAGCTTGCCTAACACAGCCGTCACAAGATATGGAACGGCACAGCCGGTTACTGCAATAACCGAGGCTGTACTACTCATGTGGTACACACACAGCTTCGCTGTGTACGCACTGCTTCTCTGTGCGACTGTGCATCCTGGGAATGTACTGTATAGTACTACGTAGCCACAGATGTACAGTAGTATATATAGGGGACCTCTGTACCCCC